ACAAAGCTATTCGCCGAGTTATATGCCGTTTTTCGCCTTTGTTTTACATATTTTTCAATTCCTTTCAGCTTGGTTTTATCGTTGTTATCATAGTTTACAGGTTAGGAAGTTTTGCCTTTCAATTGAGGCGTTTTTGTGGTGTTTTCATTAATCTTTTCGACTGCTTTCGTCGGGGAAGTATGGAAAAGGCCGACACAAACTCAGGTAAAATTTAGTTTTTCCAAACTATTTCGTCTCAAGATTTGAAAATGTATTTCATTTTTCTCCTCTTATTTGTGCAAAATTGGCGATATATATTTGGTGCAAAATCTATGTTTTTTATGTCAAAAATTATTGAAAGGTCACGATCGAACAAACCACCATGTTCACATTTCTCATCTAAAATTTTTTTATACCAATTTTATCGATCGATAAGATGTAATTTGACAGCAATTTTACAGCTCAGCAAAAATATAGTTAGAAATCTGTTGACAGAAACTATAAGAGATAAAATAAGCAACGGAGTTTTATGTTATTTTCCTGTGTATATAGACTACAGTACATGTGATGTGATGCCGACTGAAAAGCAAAACAACTCTTCAACTTGACACACATGCATGACATGGATAGTAAAATACTTATAACCAAGACATAATATCATTGTCTATTTTGAATTGCCATTTGAATATTCATTTTCACGCAATAACATACTATAAAGGTAGCCACAATGCGAGCTGCAGCGTTTTTTTAAGATACACCTTTACATGATGGCAAAGCTGAAAGCGAAAAATATTTAAACTGGAGTTCGCAAGTGTTTTTCCGTTTACGATGGTGAACGGAATCCTTTCCTCTTCAAGTATTCCTGGTTCACCTTTATTAAACATCTATTGCATGGTAGTAGATAGAAAGAATAGTGTTTTGTACTAACACAAATGCAGAATTCAGATGCAAACTCAGATGCATTCGAATTCGAATTTTATAAAATTCGGCCTTCAGGCCGGCATGCAAGCTATGCATCGTCTGTACTTTATTAAAACGAAAATAAACAAAACATTCAGTCAGTTACTTTTGACCATTTTAACAGTATTACTGTGGTATAAAGAAAAAAAAATACAGTGATATTTGTGAATAAATTTGAATAAATGAAGCCATTTTAGTCATCAAGTTTGAAAATTATATAATCTGATTGTCACTTTTCAATAATTTTTGACATAAAACACATAGATTTTGCACCAAATATATATCGCCAAATTTTGCACAAATAAGAGGGAGAAAATTGAAATACATTTTCAAAACTTGAGACGAAATAGTTTGGAAAAACTAAATTTTTACCTGAGTTTGTGTCGGCCTTTTCCATACTTCCCCGACGAAAGCAGTCGAAAAGATTAATGAAAATACCACAAAACGCCTTAATTGAAAGGCAAAACTTCCTAACCTGTAAACTATGATAACAACGATGAAACCAAGCTGAAAGGAATCGAAAAATATGTCAAACAAAGGCGAAAAACGGCATATAACTCGGCGAATAGCTTTGTACTGCAAAAAATACAAATATTCTTTTTGCATAATAGGCCTCGTTTCCATGTTGAGCGAAGGCGCGGTTACTAAGTTTCGAAATTGGTCTATACCATAATTATATCACACCATACCATAACCAATTTATACCATAATTATATCATACCATACTAATGATTTAATTGGATATTTTATTGTAACACGTGCAGGTATTAACGGAGCTGTGTACGTACCACATTTTTATTGGTCAAGATGAACAGGTAAGAATCTGCGTGACTTTATTTTCAGCGGTTGTCTGTTCTTGCTTAAACGTTGTTGTATATTTCGTCTAGTGTTGTCTAATGCGTACTTGGTTGCTCATTTCGCGACGTTAAGCGTATCTTGTCTCACCATATGTATGTTAGAAATGCCTTCAGTTATGGCAAGGTATAGCTACTTAAAATAGTCTGGAATTTGAGACGTTTTTTTAGTCCATTATCACTTTGTAAGAATGAAGTTGATTTAAGTAGTTGCAGCATTTTAGAAGTTTATTTATTTGAAGATATTTGAAATCGTGCCTTGATAATGTGCTCAGTGAATTTACAGAAACGTTTTTCAATAAACTTCAGCCTAAACGTAACGTCTCTTGTGATGCGAGATACTCCTTCACAAATATATGATTTTTTAAGTAATAATTACTAAATTTTCTGTCCTTAGACTGCTCCCACAATATCTGGAAAAGTTTACTAAACTTTCGCCAACGTCTCAAGTTGCCATACCACTGCTAGAATTTCCCTCTGGTATGTTTCTTGAAGTTACGTAAATTATGAAATCTGTTACAAAATATCAATGTACCCCCTAAAGAGAGCTAGGTTGTGTAAACACACAATCGTATTCGGCGAAAAGTTGGTAACATTCTTTTAAATCGTTTAAATCGCATTGTAACAGCTTTGTGCTTTGTACAAAAACTTCACAGCGATCCAGTTGAAACAAGTCTTTGGAATATGTTTCCCTTACACAGAATCATCGAAGTTGGCTCAACGCGATAACATCTGAAACTTTTTATTATTGGTTTTGTCAAAATGATTAAAATATAAACGAACTGATATGTTTCACCTTAGATACTCTCAATACACTGTAGCTCTTGCTGATAATGTCATTTCATCCTGGTTTGTCAACTGTCCGCTATTGTTAAGAAAACAATTCGTGCCATTTATTACGAAAGTAAGTCCACATGTCATTCTATTGCCAGGGGGATTGCTTGCTGAATTTTCAATAGATATATTTGCAAGAGCGACCAAGTTTTAATATTCTTCTAGTGAAAGCTCTTAGGAACGTATTTGTCATTTCCAGGCTTCCAACTGATAGAAAAACTCGTGCAGATGATTCTAGCCAGGTGCCAAACACAAAATTCGATACCAAAGCATCTGACCTTCTTACCCGCGATTTAAAGCCCACTGGTACCGTAGGCTCAATACAGAAATCTTGTGACTCAAACATCTTGTGACGACCAGCGGTGGGAAAGACTGAGATTTATGAAAGTTAATTCCAAAACAACTCTTTGGTAAGGTCAACGATGGGTCAAACCTGTTCAATGTTTTGGTTGGGCATTCCGTTGGCGGAATGTCAAATTGATATTGTTGTATTTCAGATGATTTATCGGCCGAACTCATTAAAGAAGGAGCCAGACAACGCCTTGAAACTACAACAGAACTTCTTAGCAAGAGCACAGACAGCGTACATTGATTGTAGATCTTGTCAAAGATCGCCTCGCATCGTGTAGAGAAGATGAGGAAACTAATATTGAAGATACCCGGGATGATGTTGAAATGAAAAAAACCGAACTCAAGGAGTCAGGTTTGTAATGTTAAAACAGATCGGCCATTGTTCGCGCATTTACGAAATGAACAAATTATCTGCCAACATTTTAGACAGCGCAGAACAAAAGATGCTGCTTACAGAACACGGCAGATCTTCACCCTCGTCGATTTTATTACAAGATTCCGGTCAAAAGTTGAATCTTGGTTCGGCATTTGTTCAACGAACTCGATATTTGAGTCGTAGTCCGAGATATGGACCAAGCGCTTTTATGGTAAGAATTTCTCTTCAAACTCGCTTTGCATGAAATTTACTTCGTGCAAGAACATTCACTATCCATCCCTAATATTGCTACTAACATGACTGGCAGGGGAAACAGAAAAGAAAGAGATCTTTGATTTAGACTAGCTTTTTCATTTTACAATCGTTTCAGATTGATGTCGTACCAGATTCCAAAGACACTGTTTTACACAAGGAAGAAACTGAAGGCAAGCGAAATTACCTTTGCAATATGGAGGAAATATATATTATAATATGACTATATTTACCTATTTTTCTTTCACAGGGAACAGTCAAGGCTTATTAACTCGTGAAGAGTTTCAAAAGGTAGCAATTTTAAGATCACGAATCATCATCGTGCATTAATCTCAACATCTGTTTAATTTTAGCCTGTTCCTGGTAAATCCCTTCTGGATGCAAGTCCTTTGAAAACTTTTTTGAGTTAAGACGAGGATAAACTTAATGAATCCGTAAGTCAAGTAATAATAATGATAAATTGGTCTTATACGGATTATTAAATACTGAGCATTATAAACCGGTAAACTCAGAAACCGGTAATCTCAATTTTGCACTTCGAATTACGTAATTTAATCCTTGTGGTTGAAGGTGAGGACTTGCAACGTTACTTATTTATTACAGGGTGACGATAGCGTGGGGAATTCAGGGGTCGGTAGACTTAGGGAAAGACACTCGTAATATAATAGATTTTACAAAATATATCCTTAGGTTTTCCTATGAGTTACAATAAAACCTTTACAATTGTTCATTGATGAGCTCAGAATGTTTCGTTATCACGTGGCCTATGCACGACTCTTAATGGTTACTGTTAATCTGTTGTAACCACCTGCTGTACTGGTACGATGATTATCACATTTTGTTTGAGCTTTACATACCCGGGGAAAACACTCAGCCACGTCGAGGTTATTAGCTAATTCCAACAGCTTGTCGTAGTATTCATTGTGGAATAAATCTACAGAGGCACGTAGTTTTGCCATTTCATCCTTTAAAAGATTAATCTGTTTTATTGATTCCGCAATATCGATTTTTTTTCTTCTTTAATTGGACCGTCAATGACAAAGTATGATCCAGAACATGTTGGGTGATAATGAGAGCAGCCATAAATTCAAATTTCTCCACGTTGCGAAAATGAGACTGTGCGTCACTAGCTAATCTAGGAAATGGCCCTTCCTGCGATCCTCCAAACTGCATAAAATTGAGTGTTTGTAGATAACTTTGAATGCATCCAAACAACCATCGCGGGATCTTATTCGTTCTACCCATCGTGTCGTGGAAGGCTTTGCGAGCTTGTTACGGGTTAAACCAAACTCTTTCATCTTTTTACTTAGATACTGTGAGCGGATAGGGAAACTGATAAAAAAGCTGGCGATATTTTGTGCCTGACTCAATATTTTTCACTGGAAGAATTGAACACGCTTTGGCAACAATAAGGTTTAAACGATGACTGGAGTAATGAACATGCAACGCCTTCGGGTTTTTCTCTAATATTCTCCCAGAAATACCTTTTACCTGGCTGGACACAGCACTAGCACCGTCATATCCCTGGCCTCGACAATTTTGAAGGGAAGCCCGACATCTTGAAGTGTACTTTGACTAATGAACGGAATCAAATCCAAAGGCGAAACAGTTCGGTATACAAATGAAAATGTTCTTGAATCATGTAAAACTTCAAATTTATTCAAGGTATGTTATATAATTAATAATGCATAATATATTTTCGAAATATTATAAATTTGAACTTAAAATCAGTGTCTACCGTCTACTTTTTTGCATATTATAAAAGTAGCAAGCAAATTCAAATGACCATAAACCCGGCATTATTTTAGAATTCGAAATTTTGACAGGATATAATTTTGTAGTTTTGATAGTTTATACACCCCAACAGCCAAACAATTTTATGATACTTATCCCTATATTGATCATTAAACCCTATAGAATGTATTAAATTATCCAGAAAGTATAAGCTTGGAGTTATCATTAAAAAGTGCCTTGCACCAGGTGAACTATATTTATTCAAATCTATTTACTAATTATTGTATTTTACTAATTTTGTATTTACTAATTATTGTATTTTACTAATTTTGTATATACTCATGTGTTTTTATAGTGATAATAATGTAACAATAGGTTGATGTTCGCGGTCATAAATGTGTTTTTGGCCCGACTTCGAACTCATTTTAGCCCGAGCGTAGCGAGGGTTAAAATGTGTTCCGCGAGGAGGGCCAAAAACACATTTATGCCCGCGAACATCAACTCTATTACTATAATATATAATAAACTATAAACTATTATTGCTATAATATATGTTCAACATCGTCAGCCTTCATCCCCTTAGCTCAGTAAGTCATGCGACATTCCATGTCAGTTCCAGTAATTGTTCATCTCAGACCTTGAAAGAAAAAAACAAACATTCCAAACACTCCAAACACTCCAAACACTCCAAACACTCCATGTCTTCTGACCTGGATTCAAGTTTACTGCTTTTATCATCTTTTTTATTTCACGTTTCCATTTTGAACATGTCCAATTGCAAAAAAGTATCCAGCCGACTTAAAATAGTTTTATTTTTGCAGTTACTTTCCAGAATATACCGTTTGGTTAAGACTTGTGTATTATAGTATATCATAGTTTTAAAACTTCTTTTTCTGTCAGATATTTTCAATAATTAGCTATCGAGACCATCCTCAGTTGTTCGGGCTGGAATACACAAGCGGTCAGCTGAGAAATTACTCGTCTTCCGACAGGTAGTTTAAAAAAGCAGATTTTGTATGAAGCTATATAAAATATTTCTTGTTCTGAATGTTTTATTTCACCAATCTAGGGATATATCATTGGCTGGTTAGCTACACGGGGTTAGAGGCAGTGGAAATGGAGATGTTTGTGTAAAAACGACCCCAACGAAGAGACTGTACGCTTTTTCATAGATGATTGAGCGAAAATTATGGTCAAAATTTTCCTGATGAAAATCTCGCACTGCTATGATTGCCGTAAATACGAACCCTCATTTCATTCTCCTCCTGACGTATGGGATCTCATATAACACACAAACAATTACACTTCTCGTCAGGTATTCCTATTAGTCAGTCCAATACATCACATACAGCAAAAGAAGAATTTTTTTTTAAGATGATATATTTTTCAAGGTTATCGTTGGGGTCCATTGTATAACGTTGTTGACGAAGAAGTAGAAAGCAGTCATTTAAAATTCCTCGCTGCGTCTCCAGGTGAAATATTTCTCTTTTTATTTCACTTTAAATTTTTGAAATATCTCCAAAAGCTTATATTGTCTTATTACTGGTTCCTTGCAGGAAATTTAACCGAAGATGTGTAGAGATTTAACTGCAATATTTCCTACAGCGGTCTACTTCATGCAGTCACCCAAGACGTAAGTTGACAATTTCTTATTTTGTACTTTTCTGCAGACAAAATCCTGTGTAGAGAATATTATTGCATTTTTACTGAGTTTTAATGTTCTGTCAAAATCTGGATTAAGGCTGTTTTCCACTCACGTGTTTTTCATACGCACGTTAGTTTTCTGCATATTTTAGTATGCATTAGTTGACCTAGATTTACAACAATAATCGTTATAAAGGAAGCGAGAATAATTTAAATTGGCAGATTGAAGCTTATTATAATCATAACCATGTACGTACGGACTCGAGTTTACTTGATAGTCGATAGCGTCGACAGCAAATGACATTGAAACGTTTGTATGGATATTTCGAAGTCCTGACAGTATAATTAATATCCCGTAGGTTATTTCAAGCAAATATTTGACTAGCGACGTCGAACAAGGCCAGTTAACCGCGTCGTGGATCGTAAACTGACCTCAATACAGAAAGTGGGGACAAAATAGCCATTTAAATATTTTGTAAGGACTTTTCCCGGAGAATAAAGAAAGACTTATCATTAATGCCATCACAATGTTCATTGCTCACGAAGGTATTGTATATCTTTGCCAATAAATATATTTAGTGTTCACCCCTAAAATATACATATTCTGACTGCTATTACCTTCACAGGTGTTCAATATATACATAAAATAGTTAAAATGTTTCGTCTATTTGCAGGAGACCAAAACAAAATATCAGATAAAGATCTCGAAGCACTGTTTCACGCTTTGAGACATTAGGTTGGATCCAAAGCAGGTTTCACAACGCTCACTAGGTGAGAAACGTTTATCTTTAACCACAACACACGCTGTTTACTCAACCAGCTCACTTTCTCTAGACCGTGTTTCTGTTTTGTTTTTACAGCTTCTATGAGAAGGTTGGTGTGAAAACTGTGAAAGCTTTGAAGAGGAATAATGAAGCCGTGACTCACGCGCTGTCGACATGCTGTGTGCTCTGATGCAGGTAAAGAGAGGGCTTTCCTTTAAGCGGCCAAAATGGTCAGACCGGTCATATTTAAATTTAAAATAGAGTATTTCGTTAAGAATATAGTTGCGAAATTTCCGAGCTAGACAGATGCAAGTAACGATATACTTGAACGCAGAGTTCTTGAAACACTCTAAAATACCAGTAATCTGTCTGTACCGAGATCAACAATAGGACCGGTCTGGCCGTTTTTTCCGTATAAAGGAAAGCGCCAACACTTTAACGATGAATTTCCTGGTAATATGTTGCCAAATCTGTCACTGTCATTAGTGTTACCCCTTTAACTTGCAATCCACATAAACTCAGCCAACTTTGAAATCTGAATGTTAACAGGATCCAATTTTATCGAAACCAATTCTGTTTTTTTATATAGTCAACGCACGATAACTATGACATTCGACAAGAACAGATAAACAAAAGCTCTTTGTTATCCTCTGAAAAATTTCTAAGCAGTTTGTTGGATATTCTCACGATAAATGTGGTAAGATGTGCGGTGTTGGTTGCCTATAATCTATGCTGAACCCTTGCATTTTATCTTTCCATCCCTCTTGTATGTATATAGCTTCGTTTTGGAAGAGAAATTCCCTTGCAAAACCCAGCAAGTGATTCGTAGCAACTGCCTTTCTAATTTGAACTACCTTTCTAACTAAACACAAGAAATAGATTAACCATGAAAACTTTTCTTCTATATTCGTTCTACTGGGGTTTTAGTTATAAGTGGATTGCTTGATTTTCTGACGTTTGCTCTGTGTCCTCCTTACAGGTTTGTTCTAGTTGTTTTGCAATATATTAAAATAATACGGGGGTGAAGTTGGACATTCATGTTAAACTAATAGTAAGGTGTGATTGCTTCCAATATTTTGAATCAACTCATGTAGTCTGTTACAATAAATCGACTATTGCATATTCCTCTTATTGAGACAACAGATGATGAACAGTTTGGGAAATTACTGGAGAAAGTTGAAGGTATGCTACAAAGAAATTTGAGGAGCTTTTCATTCAACTTGTCTTCTTGGTAGTTTATGGCTCTTTGACTGAGGTTGAGAGTTGATTAAATAGCCTTTCTCTCTTTACCTTTTTGGTGAAGTTTACCACGTCCACTAGCTTGACCCATGCATAGGAGCAACTCATGAAGTCTGTTATTTGTTTGTCTAGAAATGGGTCATTGCATTTATCGATTGTTCCAGGTAGGTTTACGACAAAACTAAATAATAGTACCAATTTTACCATTTCTTCGCTTATGTATGTTTTACTATTGCCCCGCTAATGGTTCTTACCAATCGTGGTTTTGAATTCGTTCCTCAACAATTTCAGCATCCGTCGACAACAATTGTGAAAGGTGCTGGCATGGTTCTGAAGGCGATAATCGAGGTACGTTTTATTCATTCATTCATCCATTGAGAATTTTCTGCCTTTGACGAACGTCATTTATAACGCTCTGCATTTTTTAGCCGTGATGAATGTACATATTAGTTCAGTTGATATTTAAGAGGTTTTAAAGGGTCTTAATTTTGAGAGGTATTATACACACTTCAAATCAAGCCAGGAACAGATGACGGAAAAATGAGTGAACTATAGATCCTCCGGCAGGAATCGAACCTACGCTTTTGCGATGCCGGTGCAATGCTCTTGTCACTGAGGACGTACAGTTTACTCATTTTTCCATCAACTGTTCCCTGCTTGAATTTGAAGTGCGTATAATACCACTCGAAATTAAGACCCTTTAAAACCTCAAGAATATTCCTGCATCGTGTGAAGTGCCTAAATCTGTTGATATTTAGTTAGAACTTCACTTTAGGAAGCTGATGAAGAAACCGCGGCAAAAATACAAGTTCTGGCGCTTGCCGAGGGCGCTCTACCAAAACGCTTACGCATGGCCATGTTTACGCAAAGCACTGATAGACGTTCGCTATTGAACAGGTGCGAATTAGCGTGATAAATTAACAAATTGTTGCAGAGGTATAGCCTCTATTCCATCCGCAGGACCTGAGTTGTATTTTAGCAACATTCTCAGATTCATCTTAAAACTTGTGATTTTATAATCCTCTATATACTAGCCATCTGTAAATAGTTCAATTGAGACTAACAAGCATACTCCATTAGTAATTTATAATCATTATTGTTGGCATAGCATCATCCAACAGCAATGGCATTACTTGCGAGAATAATGTTCGTATTAAAGTAGTTATAGTTTTTAATGTCTAAAATATACAAGAAAGTTTAAAAGCGAGATTTCCTGTTCATAATTTTTGGTTCATAAACAATTATGTAATAAATTTGAATACGATTTTCAGAGCCTGCTGGTTTGCTCTATTACTTTGAAAGCCCTGACGAAGTAAGAAATCTTTGAAAACTTTTTTGCGAGGGCTATTATTTACATAAACCCATTGAGGTGATTCTGACTAACCAATCGTATTCATGACTAAGGGATATCAACTGCTTTGGTAACTAAACTCCATCATTCATCCTTAAACTGTGCCAACTGCCCCCACTGAGGAAATAATTAAATGGTAATTCATTCAGAAGTGTAAAACCTTTTTGTAAAGAAACAATTTTGTTGGAAAGTTTTTATCTTTCCTTCAGCCACCAGAGACTGAAGAAGATCGTTTATCAATTCGTGACAATGTAAAGCTTGCAGAAGTACGTTTTAAATCAACAATCGTGTTCCAAAATTTCATAATGCATGCTTGCATGTACGTATAAGCCTGTTATTTCACGTGCTATACTTGTGTCTTAGAGCTCTGGAAAAACGAGGGGAACGTTGAGGAATCAACTTGAAGGATATCTCTCGCATTGGAGGACAAAAATAGGATTCAAATCCAGGAAAGATGTGAGAATTTAAATCCAGTTTTTTTATTACAAGTAAGTGTTCATATTAAGAAAATGGGAAAATGTTCTAGTCGTTTGAAAGATGAAAAAGCAATGATATTTAAGCGGATCTTTTTTACAGATTCAGTCAAGATCTGACAGCGTACAACCTGATTTGGAATTACAAGGTGAGTCTCGAAGTTAAGGTTAGTTTCCGTTGAAAATATAGGAATGGAAATGTAATGGAGGATTTCCTGTCGCTATGAGTATAACAAGACAAATTCAATAGTCCTGACCTCTTTCTCTAAACTGTTCTCGTAAAAGAGTATGAAACAATTTCTTATGTTTTCAATGTGACAGACGCGAGAGGAACTTCTGGGGCACTCGAATCTGATTTGCACGCATTTGCAATGGAAAAAGATCTGAGTGGAAACTACGTTGTCTTTTGGAATCACCTTTAGTTTGAAGTCCTGTATGAATGTTTAGCTGATGAACTGAAATAGGTTAG